ACCCTAAAAATACTTTTACTAACATATTCTCCTTCTGCAAATATTAAGGGAGCTCTGGTAGTGTAGTGTCTAAGGCATTTGACTGCTAACCAGAAGCCTGGCAGTTCAAACCCACCAGCCACTCCTTGGAAGGAAGGTTGGGCAATCTACTTCTGTAGTGATACCGCCTTGGAAACCCAAGTAGTGGTTGTTATGAGTCAGATCCGAATTGATGACACTCAGTTTGGTTTTGGTTTTTGCAAATATTAAAGGTAACAGACTATGAAATATGAAATATAAAAGTGATTTCTTCTCAGAGACTTTCATTGCATTGTTATTTATAATAGTGAAAGCTTAGAAATATCCTAATCACCATCAATAATGAAATGATTGTATAAATCATGGATCTTGGTTGTAATGTAATCATAAAGGTTGAGGGCCAAATATTTATGTAAATTAAATAATAATATGGATACAACTCATCCTATAAGATCAGTAAAAAAAGATATATATAATTGTATCTGCAGTATTTTCTCAACAAAGTAAAAGACAAAAGCAATTAGAAAAACAGAAGACAAATGATGTAATATATTAACAGTGGGGTCTTTAAAAGGAGTTATGATAAATCTTATTTCCATTTCTAATACTTGTTTATATTTTTCAAATGCACTATAATAAGCATGTGTTGTTTTTCAGGAAAGGCAAACAAAAGAAACCTGAATTTTAAAACTGAAGAGTCAAGGACTTGTCATAACTAATGACACTAGTTGCCAGAGTCTTAGGTCTAATCCCAGTTGTGTGATATTGGATCACCCTGATTTATCTGGACCTCATTACCTCCTCTGAAATAATTATTGCTCTCTAATTCCAGTAAATAGGTATCTTCTTGGTTCAGCCTTCTCTGTGTGGAGGTCATTTTCTGTGAATGAATTCTTCCAAGGTTAGGCTTGGAATTGGGGTCTGAAACTCAGAGCTCTTGATCCTCCCTAGGCATTTCTTGTGGGTAGGTGGGTTATTCATAGACCAGGATGATAACTTGAGTTCTTCCTAGAACCCGAGATTTGGTTGAGGTCATTCTTTTGGTTGTTCCCTACTCTATGGTTTGAATTTGCTAGGATATTCATTGTTGTTGTTAGCTGCCATCAAGTTGGGCCTGACTTATGGTGAACCCACATACAATGGAATCAGACTGTTGGGATCCATAGGATTTTAATTGGCTGATTTTTTTTTCCCCTGCAAATATATTGCCAGTCTTTTCTTCCTAGTATGTCTTAGTCTGGAAGCTCCACTGAAACCTGTCCAGCATCACAGAAACGTGCAAACGTCCACTGACTGGTGGGTGGTGGCTGTGCTTAGGTGCACTGACTAGGAATCAAACCTGGATCTCCTGTTTGGCAGGTGAGAATCTGACCCCTGAATCACCACTGCTCACTTGGATATTGTTCTGGTTACCTGGTGCCACTCTGACAGGAATATACCACAAATGGGATGGCTTGAACAAACAAGAGTTTATTCTCTTACAGTTTGGAGGCTCTAGGGACTGGGTGAAAGCCCCTCGACCTTGCGCTTCAGCTCTGCCTCTTGGTCCTGGCCCACTGAAGCTAAAGACATCTCTTCACTCCAGGCAACTAATGGCTGCTGAGGCTAACAAGCCCAAGGTGGACAAATAAAATGGCACAGTCCAGATGTTACCAAACGACACGACAGGCCATTAATTCAAGTCCATTGTAAGTCCCGAGGTCGGCAGAGCATGGCAAGCTGCTGAACAATGACATGGCTACATGCAGGCTTCAAGTGTGCCATAAGCTAGAGAACATTCCCAAAGCTGTTTCTTATATATGGGAAGCAGACCACATACCCAAAGGCAGCTACTCAGCTGCTCCAATACATTCAACCATGGACATAATTACCAATCTTACCATGGGGGAATAACTACATCCAGCTGCCCAGCCACTCAACCAGGCCTAGCCAAGTTGACACACAAACTTTAACTACCACAGATATCTACATCCACCAAATTAAGTAGTGATTGCTGATGTTTCAAAATCACGATGAAGTCCAAGGAGGAAGACATTTTAGCTACTTCTCTGGGGAAGGGCCTTTTACAGGGCAGAGCATTTTCTTCAGCCAAGAAGTCTCCATAAAGCTCCCTTCATGTCCCTGTTCCTCAGGCTGTAGATAAAGGGGTTCAGCATGGGGGTGACCATTGTGTATATCACAGATACAACCATTCCCATATCTGCTGAGTAGGAGGATGAGGGCCGGAAATACACAAGAAAGAGGGTCCCATAGAAGACAGTGAGCACTGACAGGTGGGAGCCACAGGTAGAGAAGATTCTGTTCTTCCCTCCAGAAGAAGGGATCCTGACAATGGTATGGATGATATGGGCGTAAGAGGACAGGACACAGGTGAGAGGAATCATGCCTGAGACAACTGCTTCAGTTAACATTGTGACCTGATAGATATGGGTGTCTGAACAGACAAGTTTTAGAAGTGGGGGTACATCACAGAAAAAGTGTGGAATGGAATGGGAGGCACAGAAAAAGAACTGAGACATCAGGAAAGTAAGTGAGAAGGCCAGGAGGTGGGAACAAAGCCAGGATGCTGCCACCAGCAGCAGGCAACGCTGGGGATGCATGATCATGGTGTAGTGGAGAGGAAGACAGATGGCCACGTAGTGGTCATATGCCATCACAGCCAGTAGGAGTCATCCATCAGGGTCAATGCCATGAAGAAGTACATCTGCACAAGGCACCCGGTGTAGGAGATGGTATAATGTTGTGTCTGGATATTCACTAGCGCCTTTGGGACAATGGTGCAGGTGAAGCAGGTCTCAATGAAGGACAGGTTGGCCAGAAAGAAGTACATGGGTGTGTGGAGGTGTGTGTCAGAGCTGATGGCCAGGATGATGAGCAGGTTCCCCAACAAGGTAACTAAGTACATGACCAGAAAAAGCCCAAAGAGAAGAGGCTGCTGCTCTGGGTGCTCAGAGAAGCCAAGGAGAAGGAAGTCAGAGATGGTGGTTCGATTTCTAATTCCCATTTAAAACAAGACAATTGAAGGAAAAAGTTAGAATATAGAGTATCCAGGAAGTTTATTATTCAAAGACTTTGGTTTGTTTTTCTGTGCTCTATTCAAAGGTCATGGTGTATTTTGGTGACCACATGTAAACATGTACAGCAGTGAGAATCCTGGATGATGATAATTAGAAACATGGATGGGGTGAACTTTGCAATCTAGTTGTCTAATACGTTGTCCTGTAGACCTCCTGGATGAGGTTGAACTGGAGAATAGGTAGGAAGAAACTTCCTTAGTCTTAGTTCCCCTTTCCTTTTAAAATAGGAAAACAACCTATTTCATTGGCTTCTAAAGTTTGGATGAGATAATCTTGGGGATATATGTTGTTGTTGTTGTTGTTAAGTGCCGTTGAGTCGTTTCCGACTCATAG